GAAAAAGATTAGTGCAGGAGGCAGAAATAATAAACCAGCGAAAGCAGTCATCCATGAACAATAGGGTCTAGTCTAATATCCCAGACCGCTCACTTAAACCCCTTTGATAGGCTCCGTAGGCACGGACAACTGAGGAAAATGTGTTTGTTGTTCCACTTTGCAGTACCTGCAGACCTCGCCTGACATTTTAATTACTTTGCTGACGCTCCCCGGATCCAGAGGCACGTAGGGCAAGCCCTTCCTCCAAACAGACAATCTGACTTGATAAAATGCCTCGGTCTGACCCTCTCAGTGCTCATTAAGCTTTCCTCAACCTCGCACGGCATCACATAGGGAAGGCGGGGGCCACAGAGTCCACCACTGTCACGCATGGGACTCCCCCCCACCCAGCCCCAAGGCCAAGATAACCGTGCTGCCCATCCTGAAGACAGAGCTACCGAGGGCAGTCAGGCTGGCCCCCGTAATCTCAATTAAACTGTCCCTTTAATCTGGCCGGCTGACGAGGACCAGGGGAAACTGAACACTAAGCAAAAAAAAAAAAGAGGGGGGTGGGGGGTGCAGGACTGCATTTTAAAATGCTGGCAAGAAGAGCTTTTCAGATGGATGAGGCATGAGAAACGAAGGCAGAGGGGGATTTAAAAAATAAATATAAAAATTGGGCGGGTGCATGCGGAACCCCTTCCCCCCGCCCTGCATCTTTGATGGCTTGAAAGAGAATCAGAAATCAAATGCATTCTTCTCCCTCATCCATCCCTCAGCGACTGTTCGCAGACGTCTCCCGCTCCCGCTCTCGCTCGCTCCCGCTCCCGCTCGCTCCCGCCGCCAAGCCTTCACACAGCCCGGCCATGTACGCTGCCTGCCGTACAGAAATGCTTCATCAATAATTTAGCTTCTAAATGAGCCGGGGCGACTGGACCAGAGAAGCGGCCCACTATGGGCCCGTATTCTATGGCCTTCAAGCAGGTGGTGGCGTGTGTATGGGGAAAACAATCCCTGTAACTGAACCTCCTTTCCAAAGTGTAAAATACATTGTATTAATTTCTTTTCTTTTAATGACCTTGCAGTTGCTTTTATTTAAAGTGACTTTAATTGTCTCACTTAGATCCTGCACTCCTGCAGCCAAAATAAAGACTGACTACTGTAGGGTAAAACAGTAGAACCAATTCTAGACCTTGAGCTGCTATTTGCTGGCTTCTTTTACTGGATCCAAACGATTCACATGAATTCCGAAAATCCGCCAACTTGTACAGTCATATACGGTACCTGACGCGCGGCGTCAAGTGAACAGTGTTTAACGATGTTTTGGTGCTACAAAACTGACATTTACTTTCCTCGCAAAAAAAGATTTATAATATATAAAAGCCTCTGACCAAAGCAGTGAGCCTCTTAAAACGTCCAGAGATGAAAAAGGTCCTGCAGTGAACCTACTTCCCATCCAAATAATGTCTTGGTGTAGTGAGAACCAGCACGCCCCACTGTGGCCCCCCATGGATAAAGCTTCCATATTGTGGAATGAAACTTGCCTCCCAGTCCAGGCCCAAGTTTGGGTCACAGGACGACAGATACACCGACTAGGCGTGATGTTCCTGGCAGAAACGTCCCCCACGGGGCACTAACAGCCTGAAGGTAGCAATTTCCAACATTGGGAAGAAGAAAATAAAAGCCTCCTTGTCTTTATTATGGTGAAGGTCAGGCCGGTTAAACAGGAGGCCGTCTTCTGCTTTAGATTAAATGTCATCCGAATGCTGCTGCTGCACACTGGGATCCGTCCCCAAATCCCTCAGTGCCCAGCCTCTTCCCGCCCCCCGGCTCCAATGACCGAGGATTCCCCCACGACCGGCCCACTGGATTTAAGCAGCTGCTCTTCTGAAACCTGCATTTGTGATGGTCTGGGCTTTACTTAAGAACGTCAGCTTATTATACATACAGACATACACACACCTACACAGTGCATAATGCGCAGGCAGTAATCCATTCAGCACGGGCCTCATGATCATATTGAAATTCAGGCCCTGATTTCATATAATATACTGTATATATATTTCAGAAGGGAAACCAAGAGCAGGAAATTTTTCTATTTAGCAAGATGCTACAGTACTATGACAGCCGTGACTAAACAGCCAAAAAAAGGGAAGGTTTATTACTTCAAGTGAACCGTAATGGTTGCTCCAAGTAAGCAGACAAATGCTTTACGTTACACTGATACTCCCACATAAAAGCTTCCAGTCCCGTGCCCTAATTGCTCAGACGTAATGCGAGATGTGGGTTCAGCCCAGCTGAGCTTTTCGTTTATTCAGAGTGGTCTGCTGTTCTCCATCAGTGCACTGCACTGACTCCATCATCCGCAAGCACGTTAGCTTGATCTTGCCGCGATGTTCGGGTGGCCGCTGGATGTGGATTAATGACTGGCACAGAATCTTGCTTACACATGAACTTTGAGAGACATGCAGTGTTGCAAACTGATGCCATTTTTTGCTTGGCTTCAGGTCAGACTAAGGGGGTGGGGGTGGAGGACAGAGCCAGAGTGGGGGTGTAGCAGCGGGAGAAGTGGGACAGCTGAACTCCATGTTCTGCTCATTATACAATGGCACTCAGCCTTGATTAAATCTTGTAATTTTTAAGGTACAGAGAATCTGAGGAGCTGCAACAAGAGGAAGTGATGATACAGGCCCTTGACAAATGCATTTAGTTACTATTGTCTTCAGTATGTTGTGCCAAGGAATCACTGGTTACTTCTCCAAGAGGTAAACAGTCCATACAGAAACCATGTTTAACGTTAAGGTGTGACATTCTCACACACAAGCACTTCATCTCGAATTTGCCAGTCACATAATAATAATACAATAATTATGTAATTCTTAACCCTTAAAAAGGTCCCACACTCATTTGTTCTTCAGCTAGAGTGTATGGACTGTTCTGTGTGAGTTAAACTGATTCCAGGGAAGAGAGATAAGAGGGTATTGTACAGCATAAACAATTTTTTAAAAATCCTAAAATCTCCAAGACATTCCACAGAAGGATCAGTGCAAATTGAGAACACGAGAGAGTGGAAATGCAACAAGAACTAGTTTCCCGTCCCTTCTTATGACCATCAAAGCATTTGGTACACTCATCCAGAACTGATCAGAACAGAAAGAACAAGCAGCCATCAACTTAATGTTGACCCCAGCTCTACACTATTGCTGTTTTTGCATTTCAAGCCTTGAGAACATAGGAATGGAAACACAGATGATCTCCTGCGTTACATCCATGACCAGAACGGTACACCCAAACAGCAGCATCAGTGGTCATTTAGGGCTGTAAAGGTATATGTATTCCATGTGTGCAATTCGGTTACATTGGTTGTTTTTGGTTCAGAATGCACAATAAAATGAATACATTTCTTGACACATGCAGAACTTAAATCCACAAGCACATGTTCAACGGGAAAACATTACGCTAACTGTAGCTGTGAGCTGATTACAGCTAGTGCTGGTTACAGTCAGTCATAATGGGCAGTTTGGGAACATTTTGGTTTCCCAGTAAATTACACCAGCACTAGAGAGAGCAGTTGATAAGACCAAGACTGACTGTCGGCTCTGTTATACCGAACTCAGATGTGTTGCCGGAAACACACCAAACATTCTAACTCATTTGAGACAACATCATCTGAGTGTGTGTATGGCTGGAGCAAGGCTGCAACAGCCTCCGGCATTTAAGACACTTTGCGGAAAATTCAGACCAGGCTACATTAAAAACTATCGGTTACAGGGATGTTTATTGCTACAGATATGCAGCCATACTCTGTAGCAGAAAATATGGGATTTAACTGAATTTATTTCATTATGATTGTTATGCTGCAGTCTTTTTTAATTTTCTAATTTTTAATTATTTAGCACATTTTTACAATATGCAGATAAGCATCTCATTTGCCTTTTGTTTGCTTTACAATGGTTCGTAATTGTGTTTGCAGTTTTAATAAACCATTTAAAAATATTTTTTCCCCTGACGTTCCAAAATTGCACCGAACCATGAACCTTAATTCAATGCTTGTACTGAACTGTAAATTTTGGGTACCATTACACCCCTATGGTCCACCATGACTTCACGAACAGGAACCACAAGACATGTCAGTGCAAGACCACATCAAAATCAGCAGGTCCAATTCTGCCCCCTAGAAGGCAACCAACACCTGTACCCAGAAGGAGAGGCTGAGCTGACCAATGAGAAGGCTTCACATCTGTTATGACCAATGGGGGCTAATTACACAAAAATCTAATTACAGCTTATCCTCAATCAAGCATGACACACTCCGTGGCACATGAACAGTTCAAGCCCACTGGAAATGAGTCATTAATGATGACGAGTGTCCATTTCGCCATGCTGCACATCACACGTCAGACATACAATCAGTGGGAGCACTATCATAATGGGTGGGTGGGGTTTGAGCAGAGCAAAGCAAATACTGCTGCAATGATCCCACCTTCAACAAGCTGAGAAAAGCCAAAGTGCATGTCAAGTTATTTTGCCCTACACTCGTCAACAAGGTGGATTATACAACCAACAGTGATTTATAACATACATTTTTATCCATGCTACACTGAGTATCCTTTTGAAAGAGTACCACTATGGGACTTCTTCCCAAGACTTCAGACCAGCTGGTCCTTATGTCCATCACCAAAAGGTGTCCTAATGTCTGTCAGCCTCAGTGTCTTATAGAAACTGGTATGGAGAAGCTCAGCAAACCAGGCTACCCCTCTCACCTCCCAGTAAGGGGGATGGCGTTGCTGGCAACATTAGCTGGACGGAGAGGAGGGAACAAGCAGGGAATGCTGAGATGTACCAGACTGCAAAGTGTCGACAGTATTAAACAGAAGGCTTTAGAGCTAAGTCTCCTGGATCAGGCTGCACTCAGATCAATGTATGTATTTAATACCTCACAAAGGTAATCACACATCTTGGTGTAGAAAGTCCAGGTAACAGAACGAGATTCTCCAGCACACCATAGGCACCAAGCTCACCTTCACGGCCTCCGCGTGGGTGACCCTGCTGAACACCTTGTCGTTAACTTTCAGTATCTGATCGCCGACCAGCAGTCCCTCCTTCTCGGCCAGCGATCCCGGCTCCACCAGGGACACGTAGATACCCACGCCGTGCTCCGAGCCTCCGCGGATGCTGAAGCCCAAGCCCTCGTTGCTCTTGTTGCGCTTCAGAGTGACCTGGCGCACCTCGCCGGGGGGATCCCGTGGAGGCGTTGGAGCTGTCCCCTCGCTGCCGGTGCTGAAACTATCCGGGGAACAGCTCGGCGCGCCATGCGCCGACGGCCGGGACTGAGCTGCATTTGCCGGCGCGCCGTTGGCGGCCAGGGCATCCCCGCAGGTCTCGGGGGCGCCGGCGCCGTCGAGCACCTCCGATCTCAGGTAGAGCCCTTCCGAGGTGTACTGGTCGAAGAGAAGCTGGTCCGAACGCGGGATGACCAGGCGCAGCATGGGCAGCAGCTGGCGCTTGCTGGGTGCGTTCAGGATGACTTTGAGGGTCTGCACCAGGTCGAAGACGTTGCGCTTGGAGTGGTACACGTTCAGGCAGTGGATGAACTGCTCCCGCTCGAAGTCACTCAGCAGCAGGTTGAGCGCGTTGTGCAGCTTGCGCACGTTGGCCGACAGCGAGCGACCGCCAGAGCCCATGGAGCTGAGCGACGTGCGCTCCACGTCCGAGTTCATCCTCGGAGCCCTGCCGGGAAAACGGGGCCGCGACGGAACAAGGGGGGTAGTGCTCGCATCGGCGGCCGGCGCCGCTTCACATCGCGGCGCCGCATGGCCAGCGCTGCGAGTAACTCGCTCGGAAAATCGCCATGGGGGTCGGCTTAGCCACTGGCCGTCCGGAAGCGAGCCGAATAATCCTTGTCGGCGAAAATAATCACTCAAGTCTGGCTGGGGAAAAAAAAACAGAAATGAAAAGAAAAATAACGACCGGCGCGGGACAGGAACGCGTGCGTGAATAAGTTTTTCTAAGTTTTCGTTCTAAAACGGCATGTAAGATTTGACGAAAACGTAAAAATACGACTCAAAAAGTTGGAGAAGGCGAAGGAAACGGAAAACTAACGAAGTCGAGCCGAGGAAGGTCTGTAAAGAAGCCGGGCGTGCAAAGGGGAAGCAGCTCCCGCACTTCGGCGGAAAAGCGCCGCTCCGTGCCTCGCCGTCTGCGCCTCCGCTGCGTCCCCCTAGTACCTAAAGGTTAAAAAACAAACGAAAGAAATAACTTGCCTAAAAAGTAAGTTCGCAAAAGAGTTGAAGCGCTTTTTTTTTTCTTGCGGTCGTCTCACCCTCCGGACTTCAATACTGGGTGACTGTGAGAGTTGCGCTCTTTCCAGTCCGTCTTTTGGCTGTCTCGGCTGAATGGACGTCGCTAAGGAGAGCGCTGTCAGAAGTGCACTCGTCTTCTCCCTCCCCCTTCAAAAATATTAAGGCAAGAAATTACCCGCCAAAGTAACTCAACGCGAATGACAAGTGCCGGTTAAATAAGTAAAAAGTAGCCCGGCGTTCGGGTTGTGCTTTCCTTCCGCGGAACTCATCCGAATTTCGTCCACGATCAGATACACTCCTTCCTCGCGCGGCTCCCATCGACAGACAGCCGCTACCGCAGCTTCTCGCTCCAGACCTTCTGCTCACAGGAAATGACGAAGCAACTGGTTGCCTGGCAACCGAAAACACTATCGTGGGCTCTAGTCGATTAATTAGCCGTGCGGTGGTCGTGGGTGTTATTTTTTAGTTTTAGGTTTTATTTATTTTCATTGTTACTATTATTTTGATAAACTACCGAAATATTTTTATATCTTCAAACAAAACTCGTGAATTAAATTTGTAGATTATTTTTCACGCTGCCTTGCATGATCAGCGCTTATTTCATTGGCTAAATTTAAATGTAGTGATATTTACACAAGTGATTTCTACTTGGGTCGTAGATAGTTTCTTATATATCCTAAGAAAAACAACAGTACTTCAATAAATACATTAAGGTCATTCAACCCAAATCAATTTATTCTGATGGTATACAATACATAGTCTTAGTGTGAAAATTGGGAAAATTATACAAAAACAATAATTAAAACAGAGTCAAAAACAATAATTAAAACAGAGTCAAACTGTTTAAATAGTTTCTTGCTAATTCTATAGTTCAGAACAGTTGCATAAAGATACACATTAAAACCTTTCTTCCTCTACCAACTGTATGGCATCGATAATTACCGACTGACATTTACCATCCACTTTCCTTTAGGAAGACATCAATTTAGCTCTCAGTCTGGATACAGGTGCCTGTAATTTTCCTAAAATAGGCAATCAAACCACTTGCCTTGAGAGGCAAGAATATGGCAGGTCATACATGAATATGCAAAGCTATTTTATAAAAAGTAAATCTATTTAAGCAGTTACACTGGTAACCTGTGGCAGATTCAAACAGATCCGCTCTATGGTCAGATGTATATTTCATGCTGTATATTGCTTGTAAAGTTGTAATGTTGGGTAGTTTACATAATATTATACACTGAGTGATAGTTTATCTTTTCTATCCAATAAGCAAAGGAGCTTTAATGGCCATACTTTAGTGCTATCTCGGTATTTCACTCTCCAAATGAGACCTTGAGAAGAATTGATCCCAGGTTATCATTTTTCTAAATTAGCACAACACTGACTGAGCTGGATCAATCGTGTCATTCTTAAATAGAGGCCAACACTAGTTGGCTGACAGCGAGTGAAATACACTACACAACACAACACAACACAACACAACACAGCCCACTCATTGTGGGCATCTAGTCGGAAATTGCTGATTTTTCTCTTACCCATGACACCCTCACTGTGGAAACACATAGAAATGGTGACACACGGTGACACACGGTGACACACGTTGACACCCTAAGCACTGACCAGCATTAATATGTATGGAAATTATGGTTTTCCCAACCCCAGTGGGATAAAACACAAATCCTAGGAATATGAATTTAAAGACATACATTTCCTGTACTGGAAAGGGTGTCAATCTGGTAAATACAGGATGGAACAGCAGAACCCCAGCTAGTGTTTGGTTTTACCTTGGAAAAAAATTAAGAAAAATATGAATAACTGTTGAGCTATTAATGTAAAGAAAGCTAGATAGTCACAGAAGGACAAACAATGTTGTGACCCAAAACGAATAAACTCAGATAAAGTAAAAAATAAACAGTATGCTAACTAAACATGCAATTAACTTCTTTCCTTGCCTGAAGCACCACATCTACTAATAGCTTTGACTGTCGGCTGGATTTTCAATTTAAACTGCAGCAGATTTTTGAGAATGCAGCCACAGGCTGGAGACAAAACCCAAATCCGTCACAATGCCTACTTTAACACGTCAACATAAACCAATGGGAATAAACAGATTTTGGAGCACGGCAAAATGTCATGGAATATACACACATAAACACAATGTTACATATATGTATATGAATGTATAATTGTGTTCTGTGATGCTTGTTCCCTGTGCTTCCTGGAATAGCAACACATGCGCATATGAATCAAGGTACTGTGCATAATCTGAATATATTAGCCAGTTATATAAATATGTAAAAGTGTGTAACTGAAAACCTGATGGAAATGTCTGCGAAGTGTACAGGTAGTAATAAACAGAACAGGCGGAGAGTAAAAGCTTCAAGTGGTCTAAGTCAGTGTTTCCCAACGCAGTCTTTGGGGACACCCAGACAAGTCTATATTTTTGCTCCCTCCCAGCAAAAATGTGGACTGTGTGGGGGTCAGCAAAGACCTGGATGGGAAACATTGGTCTAAGTGTGATAGATGTGGCTGTGACTAAGCAAAGTGAATCACAGCCGTAAGCCTCTAGCCAGGTGTTAACTGTAGCCTTGAGGGAGAAAACAGTAGCTGGTGGTGCAGCCTCTCACACATGTGCCCTGCAGCAGTGGCCATGAGCTCAATGCATCAGCTATAGCTGATAGAGTATGTCGGTGCGAAATGACAACAGCAGCTATTATGCCTGAACACAGTGAAGAGCATGTGACTGTAAAAACTGCTGATTCTGTTCATGCCATTGACTTGGCCCCTTTTACTGATTTTTTTATAATGTGAATTATTATACACCAATTAGCTTACAATGATTTAATATATTATTTAATGACCCCATTTAAGAATAAAAAGTGGATGCTGCAATATTACTGCAAAGTGTATATTATTTTGATGTAATTACGATTTGACCATTATGAATATTTCACATTTTAGCATATTCCGATAATATTATTATGTGCAGGTTTCTGATGAATAAATCAGCCAGCATCCGCGCAAGTTCATGACATAATCAAGACATATATGTTCCAGATGGCAAGTGAAACGGAACAACAAGCACGGCGGCTCCATATCGGCCAGCAGGAGAGACTGCAGCGTGACGTCAGAAAATTGTGGGATTGATTCCCCTATTCCCACCCCCTGTCACTCCCCCCAGATTGAATTGGGGGGCTGTCATGGTGGCTCCAGGTTTATTGCTAACAAATCAGCTCTGCATCCCTGGGGATGGATATTGGGGCACAGAAATAGACACCTCCCTCGTCACCACCTTGTCCATTCCGTAACATACCAGCTATGTTTCTGTTCTGCCCCCCTACCCTGAGAAAACACAATGCTGCATGTAGAGTTGACACGGACTTTCCGCAGATAGGGACTGCTGGCTAATGCTGAAATGGCCAGAGGGCGGCAACATTGACGACGATGCAGATGGTTGCACGGTGCTGCCGTTTCGGTCACATCTGCTGATCGGTGTTCGTGGAAAGTGTAGAGTGTAGACTGCCCCCTTGAGGACGAGGCCGGGAGGCTGCTAGCACAGCCCTGGCTGCTTCACACGCCACTCACGTAGCACCGTGCTCCCCCCTTCATCAAAGCAGGCCAGATCAGGCACACAACGCCGGCCCTGCGATACCATGTGACTCTCATGCTGCCCCACAAGATGACAGGACCCCCGCACCCTGGAATCTATATGGCCTCTGGCCAAACCAGCTTGCTTGCACAAACCCACGTGAGACTGTCAGCTAGGTATCAACGACATGTCACAAATATAATATTCAGAGACTCCCTCGACATATAGTCTATGTCTTTGACAAACCGATATGCTTGCAGAGTTTAACTGGGTTTGACGCCACTTGTCAGCCCGCCCTCGGGTGATTCTGCAGTTTTAAGTCTCCTACCCGCATGTCTAGGCACTTACGTGCCCAAATACAGGATCTCCCCTCCACCATGACAAGCAAAACTGTTCACTCCCAAATGCCCTCAGTTTGATCAACTAACACCAGGTATCACTCCACTGCCACAATTGCATCAAAACAGGGAGAACGGGAGGCATCTTTAATTTGCAGCAAGTCAGCAGGCCACAGCAAAGAAAGACGCTACGAAAGAACAGAAAGATAGAGGACATCCACCCATTCTCTTCCACCTTCCCATACTCAGCTGATGACATTAAATGCCATTAAATGCTTTTGATTTGCAACCTATAGAGCCAAGTGCACATTTTTCTGTTACAAAAAAAAGATTAAATCTTTAATCGTTAAATTATTAAAACACTAATATTCACAATTAGAATCTGCAGCGGATGCAAAATGCATCAAATTCACAGATGCAGCGGCATGACGTGCCTCTATAATCTGCGGCAGAATCAATTTGGGTAAATTGTTAACTTCCCCATGCGTGGTGCATCCCTCACGGTCGACTTGCAGAAACAAAAAAAAAAACTATTACTGAGAACTCATCTGACAAAGTGCATCCAATTTTCAAGGTGAATGGCTGCCCAGGGATCAGACTGTGTGCATGCGTTCATATTTCATGCCACGCCAACACAGCATACAGGTGCAGTTCGCAGCCTGCCATCGGGGACCTGCTGTTAGTATTAAGCAACAGCTCAGCCTGACAGATAATAGGCCTGAGCTTCCGTCGGATGGCCGCCACTGCCTCCGCCCCCCCAGCTCAGCAAATAGAGAGCGGTGCTGTCAGCCCTCGTAGAGGGAAGAGCCGAAGGGGCTTCTCGGGGCTGTACTCATAGGCACTGATTTTTAGTAAAAGTCGATTACATGGAATAATTGTTGTGACAGTAGAATTAGAATTCTAGACTATTATAAAATTATGTGCCTCGTATTGGCGATGCAAAATAACAGCCTATCTCTCGGTTTTGCATATTTTCCAATTCTGGACGTGCTGTAGCTCTACACAAAGAGGCGCACAGTGTCCAATGGTTCCAGTTAATTTCCGTGCACACAAAGGTGGCCTGCTGGAGCCACTCACGTGCTTTGTACCTGTCGCACGATTTAGAAATCAGAAAAAAGCAAAACCTGGAGAATTGTGTAGATCCAATGGCTTACTTTGAAGTGACACATAACATGTTCTGGTGATACAGCCCCAGGAAGCTGGAGAAGACCCAGACATTGCATGGTGACTGTACAGATTTTTCCTAAGTTGACAAGGAGCTTAATCTCTCGGAAACACATCCAAATTACAGAACAATTCACAGATCACATGCATAGAACTTTAACAACATTTCATAGCAAAGACGTGACTGACATGCTTTTCTTTAGCAGTCTTGTAAAAGCAGATTACATAAGCAGAGCTACTCCTCCATCACCATCATGGTAG